TTTTTTTTTCCCCTCTGATCCTTTTTTATATAGTGGGAGACAAGCAGATAATCCCCTTACTTACTGCAACACCATGCAGCAAAGAAGGCAATATAATAATATCATCTGGGAGTTTAATGTTCTTCACACTGTTGCTGCCTCTTTGGGAATTGCTGTGTCTAATGTGTTATCTCTTTTCATCTCTGGTTTTCAGACATATTGAAGTGCTTGAAAGATAAGATAATGTATACAAAATAAATGTACATTCAACTAATTCTGTGACACGAGAATGAGCCTTGGATCCCCTTTATGAAATAAAAGCCAGAGGAAGAAAGTTAACATATATGAGGCCAGATTTTCTAGAATAGGCTTTACTCCAGCTGGAGAGACCTTGTGAGTAGGGCACCAGCTGGGAAGGAGAAAGATCTGTTCTCTAATTCTGTTCCTGGCATCGACCTGCTCTATGACCTTACCTTGCTTTTTTGTTTTCTCTCTCTAGCTAAAAATATCAGCTCACCTTAAAAGCAGCTTTTACTTCTTGTTCTCTAGGCACATGGCTGGGCTGTTGGCTCTCAGATCTTCTACTCCCACATAAACCCCTGAGCCATAGGGAAATTCCCTGGTTTCACCAAGTCTGGGGCTTTTGCATGGGACCAGCCAAACAGTGCTCCTCAGCCATAGACTGCAAGGGTTGGAAAACAGCAGCACAGGTTGGTGTCAAACCCCTCACTGGCAATCCTGGTTCATAAAGGGAAAACTGTCCATGACCTGCAACCCCCAAAGTTTTGTTATTATTATTTTAATGTAATGTATCACTCATATCTATAGATTGCATTGAAAATATCCTCCTAGGCAGCCCTCTCAACACTAAAACTCATCCCTTTAAGATAAAAGATCCCAGAGAAATTTTGAAGGTGCCATCTAAAGTAAGGCAGCACTCTGACACATGAGCACAGGAACCTTTTCCGTGGAGGTAAATATTTAAAGTAAGTTTGCTGTGTACATTCCTGTATCAAATATTGTTTTTATGCAGAGCTCTTAGAGAAAACAAGGTCTTTTATCTTAGAAAGGTAATCTCTTGTGAATTGGCCTCAGCTCTGCTGAGCCTGTGACCCATATGAGATGCAAACATTATGACTCTGAGCATGTGGAGTGGGTTGGATAGAGTCACACTGCACATTTCTGGCTGGGAGAAGATGGTCACAAATGCTTTTCCAGAGGCAAAGCTGTATGGAACAAGACCCTCCTATTCACAAATTACATTCCTCCCCTTTCTCTCCTTCTCCCCAACAAGCAATATTTTTCATTCTCTTCATGCCTCCAGCCTGAATTCTGAGCACTTTTCTCCAGGGTTTGGCTTCCACTCACAGGCTCCCACTTGATGCCATTGCTTCAGCCTCTTCCTTCCTCAGTGCTCAAAAATTGTCCTTCTCCCAGCAATGATACAGGTAAAGCATTATTTCTTTAAATCCAGAAAAGTAGGAACCCTGGTGACCCCTTGGTGAAGCCCTCCCTGAGAAGGCATGCTGAAGCAAGACTGCCCAGCTCTTCCACCTCAGAAGCAGAACAGTTGTCAAACAACTAGTAAATTCCACACAGGGAGAAAAAAGACATTCTGAGATTAAAGAATTTGGTAACAAAGTCCAGTGATATAAAATCATGGATGCATTTAGTAATCCATGTGTGGTGTGCTCATCAGACATCTCCAGAACTGCATATCAAAAGCTTGTCCCTTTTGCAGGCAAAGCCCACTCATTACTTTGTATATGCACACACATCACAAGCAGTGACAGCAGAAGTGACCTGAACCACTCTTAAAACCAGTCCTTTGCAGTTGTTGGCAGAAAGACACAAGTCATTCATTGACTTTTGGACATGTTTTCTTATAAAAGAAATCTGCACACCCTGTCTGAACTCTGCCCTGTCTTGTTAACCCTCTGCAATACCCGTGCAGGGTTGCAGCTTCAGGCCCTTGTGATCTAGGTCAGACCAGCAGAAAAGTCCAGCTCCAGAGCTGATGCATTCAGAATAATCTGATTTTTCCTTACAACTCTCTGGCATCTAACACAATCCTCGTGCAGTGCCCACTGTGTAACTGGCACCCAGCCTGCTGAGTGCTGCTGCAAAGCTGGATCTGCTGATACACACCACAGTTATTTGAACACCTGGTGGTGTGGGACTCTTAATTTTTATGAAGACTCCCTGGCACTCCATGGCTGTCCCCATCCAGTTTGTCTTCTCCATTTACTTACCATATATCTGTGTCCTTTTTTCATCTGTAAAACCTGCTCCTCAGAGGGAAATTCTTGACAAGAAAGTCCAAGGTCAGAACATCCAGAAATTATACACACTGGCCAGACAGAAACTTAAAAAGCATTTTGGGTGCAGAAGAGATAGAAGGTGTTTTATTGGACCTTGCAGGAAGTGGCATATTTAGCCTGAGTGAGGTTTGAGATTAGTCCGCCGAGGCCAGGTTTTCCGCCGTGCCATAAGCCGTCTCGAAAAACTGGTCGAAAGCCTGGGGTAGGACCCCGTTCCTGCCCACCGTGCTATAGAAATTGGAGGAGACGTTGGTGCTGGGGTGGTAGACGTTGGCTGTGTTTTTGCCGAACATCTCGCCCATGCTAGCAGTGTTGGTGGCAGGCAAGCAGTCTCTGTGCATGATCTCCTCTGCGGAGTAGCAGTGGGGCAGATTGTTCCTGGGGTGCCATTTACTGGAGGGATCAATGGCATATTCCCTGAAGGTAACTTCTCTCACAGGTTGGACCTGGGGTAGGTTGGAGGAGTAGGAGTATGTCATAGGGCGAGAAGACGGGGTCTGGGGCAAAAAAGAAGGGAGGCTGGAAAAATCAGGACCCGAGACGTAGTAAGTACAACTTGGCAAATACATGTTAGAGGAACAAGGAACACGCTCATCAAAATCCATCATTAGGGCTACCTCGGCTTCTCCGCATTAGCTGAGCTTAACATGATTCTGTAACGCAGCTGCCCCCTTTGAAGCGGATCCGTGAAGTAAGAGATGGGGAGACGTAGGCTGACGTGGAAAGCTCTCCCGGCGGCGGCAGGGAGGTG